TGAGGAGGAGGAGGAGGAGGAGGAGGAGGGCGCTGCTCTTCATCCCGCGGGCTGACCATCCCCGGAGGACAAAGCCTGCGGCTCCTGTCCTGCCTACACCCAGTCCTCGTCACCCGTGGGAGAGCCCCTCCTGCCACCCGAGATCGCCAGCAGCTCGGTGGCAGCTGTGGTCAAACCCAAACGCCCCGCCTGCGCTGTGTGAAAGCAGAGCGCCGGAGAGCACCGAGCTGTCACACTGTCACCTCCACTCGTCAAAGCGTGCTGGCCTGTCCATCACTGCCATGTAACACCAGCATGGTTTTAACCTTCAGAGTAAACGCTGCCAATGCAAAACAACTGCACTCCTCTGCAACTAATGCCCTCAACCAGTCGATATCAGCACATCTCCTGGTTTCAAGCAATACAGTGGCATTTTCACCTGTGGGTTTGATTGGCTTTTTACCTGCGAACTACTGTCCCCCACTGCTCAGAAAGCCCAGGGCTTTGATTCCTTGGGGCAGGGCACAGCCAGCCTAGGCGTCCTGGCTAAAGCTCGGATCCTCGCACCAGAAAGGGAGGCTGCTGCCTTTCCTCGCGTAAAAGCGAGCGGGAGAGCAATGTCCGGGCAGCCTGGGCGGAGCAGGGCTGGTGGCCGGGCGGCTGGCCCACGCCAGATGCCCCCGGCAGGCTGGGATCCAGCGGAGATCATGAGGAAATCCTGCCCCGTGCACTGTGCGCTTCACACGCGTCCACCCACCTTCCAGCGCTGCACAAAAGCACAGAGTGAGAGCTCAAGCCAAAAAGCTGCTGCTGCATCACCTGTCGATACACAAATGACCAAATAGAAAGGGATCAGCCTTTTTCCTGGCTGGCGTCAGAAGTGGAGCTTTTTCCAGTCTGCTCCAGAAAGCACATCTCCCCCTGCACACGGGCTGCAGGGCTGCATCTACAGCGGCCAGGCCTACCCCGAGGAGAAATAACACCCCAGCATCTGGGGGGATTTCTCATCTCCCCTTTAGTAAACAAGCCCAAAGCACTTGTCACCCGTCAAAGGCAGCCTGGCAGACACCAAACGGCTGGTGCTGCTGTGAGCTGGGCGAGGGGCTGCGTCCTCCCTCACACGGCACAAACTGGAGCTAGGCTCCCGTGGTTTAAGTGTAGCTTAGAAAAAGTATTTAAGTGTATTTAAAAAAGCCCCCAGGGGTTGCTGCAGCAGCCCGGGGGGACAGCAGGTGATGACAGCAGCACCTCCAGCCATGCCCTGGGCCAGGACTGCAGCTAAAATCACACACAGTTATTTATTTTTCATAAACACAAACACAGGACACAGCACAAACTTCTATACATCAACATTCACTGTGGAAATCCAGAAAGGAAATTAAATTATTATGAGCATTTCTCTGTGAACACGTGCCTCAGCCCTGCCCGTGGTGTGGCAGTTTGGACAAGCCCAGCTCCCTTTAACACGGCTGTGCAGGAGGGGTGCTTTTGGAAAACACTGTCTAGAAAGAGCTGTATTGTTCATGGCAAATACGTTTGTCAGAAAATGAAAATCCCTGGAAATGGTAAGTTTAGCAAATACAGTTACATCTCCTAAATTTAAGCCAGAATTTGTATGCCTTGTTTTTAAAGCATCAGTAAAAAGAGAAGGCAAGCTACAGGTCATGTGTTGATGGCTGCAGGAAAACTATAATGAACTTTAAAAAAGCGAAATAAACTAAACTGCTAAATGACACATTAGCTTTCAGTCCCTGAAATTTTGGAAATAATCAGCACTTGCCAGCCCCAGCAGCTAAACTGAACAAGATGGGGAACATCAGCTACAGGAATAAATAGTGGTTTCCATTATGCTCAAATAAGTCTTCTAGCTTTGCATATCTTTTGCCCCAGCTACCAGAGGGATTTACTTTCCTCTACTATGCTCAGCAGCAACATGGCCTGAGCTTTAACAGGACGACGGTCTCCATCTGATTACAGCGGGGACACAGCTATCACCGAAGCAGGGCTGTACGGAAACTGCGAGCAGCAGCTACGTCATCTCTGCATCAGTATCCTGATACGTGGCATAAAAAATGCAAAATGGAATGGGATGGGCACTGATAACAAAGAACCCATCACAAGTGAGTCATCGGACGTGACCGGGGATGGAAGCAGCTCATGGAGGATGAAGGGCTGTCAAACAATTCAATGCCACGTGCAGAAGGCTCACAGTAAACGCGCGACTCAGAGCAGACTGCCTTACGTGGCCGAGTAAAGCACTGCCAAAGGTAACACGTTACAGTGACCCAACATCTTCGAGCGCTACCTGATAGCGGTAACAATTTGTGAGGAAAAGTATTACCTTAACTGATCCGGAATTTCCACATCTTTCATACACCTGTCTTACAAACCCAGGATTCTTTCAAGGAGACCTGGTAGGTCATGCCAAGGCGCGACGCTTGAAGCCCCGGGTGAAGGGGATCCAGTGGTCCTGATACATCCGGACTTCCGAAAGGCCTTTGCTGAGGTCCCACCCACACCACGGCTTTGTGAAGAAATCCATTTGCTCTGTGAGTGTCTAAGCGAATCCTGGAAGTCCCTGTGGGTACCGGTTCCACCCTCCCAACCCGCTCCTGTGGGCACAGCCCAACTGTTTTCTGCTGCAGAAATTTTGGATTTTCCTTCTCTGGCAGGAATTGCCATGGCAGGGGGGAGCCAGGCTGGCACCAGGGTGTGGGAGAGCCCGGTGCTCGGCAGGCGGTTGGCAGCCAGAGCCCGGCCCTGGCTCCCTTCAGCGAAAGGGATTCACACCCAGATTCTCTGTCAAATTAGTCAAAACTACGGCTCTTATAATTAGCACAAAGTTTACCGCAATATTCTTCACTTACTGTATCTGAATATTATGATTAGCTGTGACAAGACGAAATCAGAGATCACTAATAAGTCGTGCTGTGCGTGAGCAGCTGCCAGACCGCATCTGAGGAGGCACCAGCCTCACGCCTCGTCCCGACTTGCCCACGAGGAGCCGGCGGCAGCACGAGGGCAGGTCGGGCTCTCGCAGCGATCGGCCACTCCACGGGTGCTCCCCGGTTACATGGGGATTTGGGTTTTTTTGTTTTGGGGTGGTTTTTTTTTTTTTTTACATAATTTTTAGTACTTTCTAGGTATATCATGAACATTCATTCAGGACAAACTAGAAGCTTTCAACACAATCTGCTGAAGGTAAATAGCATTATGCTAAAGTAGATCTTATGCAGTTTAATGATAGTTAATTTCTTTTGATACCTATAATAATAAAAAAAA